CCAGTGTGAACAAATGTAACAGCATACACCTGGGAACAAAGTTTGCTGTTCCTACTAATAGGAGGGGATTTTCTTTCTTCAGAAGAGGAGAGAGAGGGGAAAAAACTCCAACCAACCAAGCTTGGAGACAATGGAGAAAGCAGATGAATTAATTGATAGGGAGATGCAGTGATTGATTAGATGGGTGACAGCAATCTTTGGCTGTAGGAACAGGAAAATTTCAGGCTGGAATAGAGAGACGGTATTACCACTGAAGGCACTGAAGAGGCTACACAAAGTACTGTGTCTTGCTCTGACTCTACTACTTTTAAAAGCTTTTAAAATACACTGCAGGTACATCCTAAAATGCCAAAATATACGAAGTCATGCAATTCCTCTCAAAGGCAAGGTTAGGATGGGATTTGACCACAGCTTTCGAGATCTATGTGGCAAGCTCCAGTGTGACAATAGAGAGAGGCACACAGGACATTCTCTGAAAGATACACCAGCCTCTCCTCAGTCATTGGACTCCAAGCAACAAGTAATTAAGGGAAAGGTTTTGGACATACTCTAGACACACACTTGTCATCAGAATTATCCCTCCGGCCACATAGTGAAGCCCTCTCCCCCTTAACCTACCTACCTATTTACACAAGGAAATTGCATACCAGAACATGTCATGGGGATGCCACAGAAGAGGGCAGAGACAGACATAATTCCCACCACAGACAGCAAATTACAGCACTTGGCTCAAGAGAGGCAGAACAAACGCTCCCTCAGTGGAATTAATGCCCCCAAGGCCAGGCAGGTTGCATGAACTCACTCCTTGCACAGGGACCCACAGGACAGAGTCATGCAAAGGAACATCTCCCTTCCCAGAGGGACAATGGCGTCATCTCCAACAACACATGAACACAATTGCTTCACGGAGTAGAGCGAACTGGAGAAATTGCTCACTCTTTTTTTTTTGCTGGAGAACTGCCTGACTTAAAAAGCTGATGAGTGCTAGCCCAGAAATAAGTGACTTTTCTCCTAAATTCATGCACATAGAGACACTGGCCTGCATTTCCAGCGCAATTAGTGTTCACATTATCTCAACTTTCAAAACTTAGTAGGCTCTCAATTTTCAGAATCTGCCCTTTGAAGTTGCCTCAGATCGAGCTCTCCAAATACTCACTGTGGGAAACAAATGATGACAGACAAGATGTAATCACAAATGCAGGGGAAGAGGGACTCCCACCATGACAGCTGGTGACAAGCACAGTCTGCTTGAAACTTCTGGGAACCTGCAACCTCCTGTCGCCAGTGAGCAGTTGGGAACCAGAGCATCGGCAAGCTGAATTTGCAGCCCTGGTTGCTTATGCACACTAGGGCATCATCATTCTTCAACCCAAATTACCTCACTTGGTTTTAGGTGCTCCAAGGGGAACAATGAAGGAGAGCATTGACTTAGGACTCTTGTTTTGCATTTTTTTTCTAATCCTTTCTGAAAAAAACATGTTGAAGGTGGTTGGGGGAGGGAATGTGCAAGAGGGGAGAAAGTTCTGGTGTTATCAGCTCCTATTGCCATGGAAACTGAACAGTTTTAGTGACAATGGAGTCTTCCCTCCTTGAGCTGCTGGGTTGCGTGGGGAGCAGGGGCAAGCAGGGCAGGGGCACACAAGGGAATTCAGCTAACTAAAACTATAGCTTCTGGCTTTCCAAGAAAGTGAGGAGAAAACTACAAATGAATGCCCGAATACATGGTTTATGTAACCAAAACACCGTCTGGGGCAATAGCAGCAAATAATTGTTATGCTCTTTGACAAAACATGCTGTCATGCAGCTAGCCAGATGGAGGTATCTCAGCTGCCCAGGAACACCTGACAGAACAGTCCCTTGCCTGCACTTTGCTTTTCCATGCTACAGTTTATTTTTCCAATCTTTGCTGCCTCATTGGTGTTTATTTGGCAAGGGAGAAGGGAACAGAAGGGGCTGGGAAATGTAGTCCTTATCCTTGAATTTGAGAGAAGCTGCACATCTTCTAGGCACTGCACATTACTTTCCAACATCACAGATGTTTCCTTAAGAGCCAAATTTATGACCTCCCTTGCAGGTAATGAGAGTCCTGGACCACAAAAAGGAGAAGGCCCTTAGAGAAAACTGATTAGCCCCTGAATAGGATCTAACTCACTGGCATTGAGAAAACATGCAAGACCTAATGCAGGGTATCTTCTCTTAGAGGGCTAAAGCAGCATCTGGCCTGAGTAAGCCAGTAAACTGAAGCTATGATCCAGGTGTGGGACCACTCAGGACAAAACTTGGGGCTTAAATTTGAGGTTAAATAAAAGCCTACAGTCTGTATGTATGGGCAAGTTTGAGCCCTGGATTTGATTTAAACAGTGTAGACAATTTTAATGAATTTCAAAGAATAATGAATTAATAACCACAAGCTTTTATAACTTGAAATACATTATATAGTCATTAGTTCTATGTAACTAAATGGAAAAATCTTTCTTTAGCAGAAGTCTTTTGAGATCAAATATTCTGAGATTACTATCATTTCAGCCTGACACCTCATGAGGACAATCGTATAGAAATCAGGAAATAAATTTCTTTCAGTTTTGGACATGAAATGGAAAATCCTCCATGCTGATTATTTTATATCTACAGAGTTGATTCTCAGTCTCCTTGGCATTGAAAAGAGTTCAGATATGAGCTTTTTTCCTAGTACTGCTATCGGATGCACAAAAGACTCACTCTCCTCAAATTTCTGCCAGCAATGGTGACAGAGGGAAGCACATAAATGGAGTTTACTCCCTTCTCATCTAGGTAGCATGGATTTCACTTGTTTCCTGCACGGAGTAAGCACTTGCACTCACTCTCTTTCATTTAGCATTGCACCATTGATTTAATCTCTCCAGATAGCACCACTCACATACCACGCTTGCGGGGACACCAGGCAGAGTGAGACCCCAGTTCCCAAGCCTTTTACCCCGTACGCCGGTGATCCTGTGCCCACCTGCAGCAGAGCCTTCCTCCCAGCATACCACAGCACACCACCCACACGGAGGAGCACCATGGGCTCCAAGGTCCCCCTTTCAAACACACCTGTTCTCCCCTTCCCTCCTCAAAGGCTGCTGTGGTCGGGTCTTGCTTTCCCTGCATCCAGCCACCAGCAGTTTTGCCACCAAGAGCTCAGGCTAGAACATGCAATGACCTGGCTTTTCTCACCACCATGCGCCAGGTGCTTTAACTTAGCCTTTCCTGATGGACTCGCAGTCCCCATGCTGGGCCATTTTAAATCAGTTGCTCATTACAGCAGGCTCAGCCACTAGAAAGGTCTTCCCATCTCACGCATGTTGCGTTAATTCAGAAAAAAAGCTACAGCTTTCACCTGCCTGTCCTCCTTTCATGGACAATCTGGCTGAGAATCAGCCTTCAGACTTTTACAACTGCACTGAGTTTGAAAACCTCTGCTCCCCCCAAAAGCAAACAATTACACGCCCCTCCAGAGGGAATGACTCTCAAGTCTCGCTGTAGAGGAACTGTGTCAAAAGCAAATACAAAGACAGTGCTGCTCTGCACCACAGGGGAAAACTCTGCAAAGTGAGCTCGAACTCACTGCTGGCTCAGTCAGTAATATACGTGCCTCCAGGTGACAGCAAATGCGGGTAATTTCTTGCTGGGAGGAGGGAGAGGGAAGTGGAGAAGGAATTTTCTCTCTGAAAAAACGTTCACTGGTTTGCTGTGAGAACAGCAATATTACACATTTTTTCTGACTTTTTTTTTTTTTTTACTATACCACAAGGCAATCTAATTGAAAATGGACAAATTCAAAAAAAGCACATGCCCATTGGTGTCAGAGATAGACATTTTGCTGTGATTCAATAGGCAAATCCTGGTAGGCTTTCCACTTCATACATGCAGAGAGGAAATCAGAACTTCACCATAGCAGCTTTGTCATAAAAGACACTCAAACGTCAACTTGTCCCAATAGTATCATGGGTAAGGCCAGTGCAATATGAAGACAAAAAGCCCAGAGTAACAAAAATGACATTCCTACCTTTGAAACACTGCTGCTGGGAACAGAGAAGCTAGCTTGGTGCTGGTAAAGGTTACACCTCTTCCACTCAGACATTTAAAAAAAAAAAAAGGTTTCTGGGCTAGCTCTTCAGCTGGTACAAATTAACACCATCTACTGAAGTTGTACAAGATAGATGGCTGCACATCTGCCGGGGAGCTAAGCTACCTCATCTACTATTTCTTCCATAGACTGCTAACCCCAGTGCATCTGATTCCAGCTCTGCAGATGTACTGGAGTAGCACCAGAATTGAAACTTTCCCTTCAGTTACATCATGAAAAATCAAGAGTAGTATCATTAGCTTTGTGAGGATTTACTTTCACCTCCCACCAGTACAAGAGGATCTTAACCCTGATCGGTACATTTAAGAAAAAACATTTGTAGTTGCCACTGTTCTTCATGTACTTTCCAGACAGGGAGTGTTTCCCTGTTCCATGCAAGACTCTAACAAACAGAACAAATAAAACCAGAAACTGTCAACCTACCCAGCCATGACAATGAAGAAATCCAGGCGGTTCCAGGTATCTCCAAGGTAACACTTCTTGCCAAAAATCCCCAGAGCCACCATCTTTAAGACCATTTCCATGGCAAAGAAGATGAAGATGAAATCATCAAATACCTGCCAAACAGAAACCGAAGAGCATATTTGATAAGCATTCTCAGCCTCAGACTTCAAGATGCAGAATGTGAGATAAATACAAATTTCATACTTCTGAAAATGAGTTAGAGGCAGGGCTGGAAGAGCTAGCATCACAGCTCCCTCCTGATGAAGTAAGCAAGAAGGGGCTTTTATTGGTTTTTTTTCCCCCATTGGTGAAATAAGTGATGTAGACTCACAGACTCCTTACATGGACTTGAAAAGAGGTGTTGGCTCAGCACCAGCAGGTCCAAACCTGTCCAGGGAAACATATTCCAAGGTCTCCCAGGTGGGTTCCTCATCACCCCACTGCAAATGTCTCAGCTGAAGACATACTGCAGCTTCATGCACAGCTTGGGCAGCACATACCAATCACAGATGGAGGCTTCAGATATCTGAACACTGCAGCCTCACCAACACTACAAATGACAACTTTTGCTGTCACCTTCTCTTTGGGGAAGCAGCAAGCACAGCTAGTACATTCATAGGCTGGATGTACCTGTGGCCCTTCTTGGCATGCCTTCTGTTTTTTCTCCCTTTGGACATCCTGAATGCCACATTATCTGAGGATTCGGTAGCACCCTTGCTCCTCAGAGTAGCAAAAGCATTGAGGGCTGCTATTCTCTTCTGACTTAGTTATTTCTCCCTGGCTTACCTCTGAAATACGTATCTTGTAGCTGTCTGTGTCAGGAGACTTGCATGGTCACAAGTAGACTTCATTCATTATCTCTCTCTGTTGCCCCATTACCCTCCTCAAACTAAGCTCTTGCTTTTTTACAACAGGATAGCTTACTGCCAGGGACATTCTTGTCGACTTGTCTGGGAAGGTGTTGCCCACACACTGAAGGAAAACATATGTGACAGTTTGTCCATCACAACAGGAAAGAAGTTTGCTTACCTGCAAAATTTTACACCTATCAGAAAGGCAATCCATATCCTCACATGGCTGGTACATCCCCAGGGTAACGCAGTTTAACAAAATCACCATCATGCTGACACACTCAAACCAGGTGGAAAAGAATCAAGGAAAACTCCTGTAAAAGCATCATGGCTGAGATAAGCTTGCTCTAGGCTTGGGGTGACAAAATAGGAAGATTAAGGGAAATAACAACTGCTGGTAGTCTGATTTATTACATTCTTATGTTTTTTGCCCTCAGTTCCTCACTACTCCACTCCTTGATTAAGCCAAAACCCTTTGGAAAAGGGGAAAGTGGAAGTAGCACAAAGGCCTGAGGTATTTATACAAGTCAAATCATTACCACACTTAAACACATGCTGATTCCTCTCCTGTTGGTTTACTGAATCTTCCAAATACATGCAAGAGACTTTCCATGGTGGCCTATACTCAAATGCAGCAGAGATCTCGATGATCTAGGGACCTAAATCAAAATAGACATCCAAATCTCTACATGAGCCTAGTGATCACTGCCCTTCTGGGAAGGGGGTACAACACAAGGCTAGAATTCTCCATCTTCCCTTCTGAGGGGAACTTGGAGATAAAGAGTTGCCATACTGGAACAGGTCAATGGTCCATCTAATCTGTTATTCTGCTTCCAGCAGTGACCCATGCTGGATAAAACTCCACAATGTGCCTAATTAAGTTATTCAATAACCATGGGGGGAAATTGCATTTCTGACCCCAGCTGGTGATCTGTTTATGCCCTAAAGCATGAGGATTGATAGCCCTTATAATTGTTTTCTCAGCTACACTAGTGTCCCTGCAGATGCTTTGCTTATTCATTTGAATCCTTTGTTGATAATCTTACTAAAATATCCACTTCGATAATAGTTGGCAGCCATGAGCTACATTGGCTAATTATACTTTACATTAAAAATTGTTTCCTCCTATTTATTTTTCATTTGTTGCCTTTTAATTTTATCAAGTGCCACTTCATTTATATCTTACAAAAAAGGGTAAAAATGGTGTATTTGTGCTCTTCACACTCTCTACCTGCCTCCTCTTCACCATCCCTCTCTTCATGAAGGAGTCTTAAGATCTGATACACACTTATCCAAGCACTCATTTACAGTATTTTAGACCTAAAAGTGGGCATGTTTCTGTGATATCTTTCCAGCACTCACATTGCAAAGCAGTGATGTAGATCTGAGAATGGACCTCCGACCTCTGGCAGAAGAATCCTTCTTGGGTATTTTAACACACCTCACAAATATAACTGCTCAGTTTCCTTTTTTTAGAGAAATTTTTTTTTTTTAAATCTCAACTAACAGAGTCAAGAAATTATCCATTTAAAATACAACCCATTGAGTGCACCCATTTTCAGTCCTTGCAGAACTGAATCCAAAACGGTAGCATGTATCTCTGGACAATTCTGAAAGACACTCAACATCTATGGTTTGTTCTGAGCAACTATTCCATGCTCATTCTCTGACAGTGATCCATGACTAACCTGCACACTGTGATGTAGAAGATTATTAATTCTTTTTCTCCTCCCCCACCTGGTTTTCAGTGAGCTACCTTCTGTTGCAAAATCAGACAAGAGCAGGGCACCAGCTCTACTGTGCCAATCATGCTACAAGGTGATTTCAAGAATGTGTTATCACTATTCCTCACTAAGTTAATCCCAAGTGCTGCACAAAGTAATGTGCATGGAGCCCACCCTTGATGTAGGTTTCAAAACCAGAGGCCTTTCCTGAGAGAAATACACCAAAAAGGCATGAATAAAATGTTTGCCCTCAGAGGTCTACACAACACAGCTTCAACTTTCCACTTTTCTCTCTCTTACACGTTTCTTTAATGACCTGATCCAAAGCCCAGGAAGGCAATTGGAAAGGTTTCCATTAGCTCCTGCAGGCTTTTCAGGTAAGACTGCAATTCTCTTCTGAACTTTACAAAATCTGTTCAGTGTCATCTTTCACTGAATTACAGAACTACAGAACGGTTGAGGTGGGAAAGACCTCTGGAGGTCATCTTGTCCAAACGCCCTGCTCAAAGTAGCGTCCAACTACAGCAGATTGCTCAGGGTCACATCCAGTTGGGTTTTGAATACCTCCAAGGATGGAGGCATCAGAATCTTTCTAAGCAACCTGCTCCAGTGTTTGACTATCTACACAGTGAAAAAGTGTTTTCTTACGTTTAAATGGAATATCCCATGTTTCAACCTGTGCCCCTTGCCTCTTGCCCTGTCACTGGGCACCACTGTGCAGAGTTGGGCTGTCTCCTTTATTCCTCCCATCAGGCATTTATACACGTGGATAAAATCCCCCTGAGCTTTCTCTTCTCCAGGCTAAGCAGTCCTAGCTCGCTCATTTTGCAACGGGTGCTTTGACAGCTATTCGAAAGGCAGTGCCAGTGAAGCCCTGACAGAGGGATCAGTGCCGAATGACACTCTTCGAGCTGTCAAAAAAGTTTATGTGGGCTGAGCCACTGCAAAAGTCCCTCTCCCTGGACATAAGGCAGCCAGGAGCATGGACAGAGCCAGTGCTCAGAATAGCCCCCAGCTATTCTGAAATTTCACTTCAATTGGATGAAATTAATACATAAAAAATGAAAAGCAGTTGTTTTATAAGCCAGGGTTTTTTCTTCAGCAAACAACCAGAAAACATGACATGAGAGACTCAGGAGGCAGGGATTACTCTCTGACTGCAGCCAAACTCAGAGAATTCAGGCAAAGGGGCTCGAAGTCAGGGGTTTATTTCATACAGATCTACACTTTTGTGCACATGCTTCGGCAGCAGCAACACGTGGGTGGCTGGGACGCTCCCATGCTCCCTTTGCTCCTCTCGCTCCCCTTGCAGTGGTCACCCCCCAGGCCACACAGATCATGGCAAGGGTGCCTGCGGGCAGCTGGCAAGACCCCAAAGCACAAGACCTGGCCAGCCGCAGTGAGCACTCCCAAAAATGTTGCAATTTTGGCCAGATGCGTGAGGCTTGATCTTCTTGCTCAAAAAGCTGTGGCTGGCTGCACTCAATTTCTCCTCCCCTGCTTTTCGGATACCAGCTCTCTGAAAGTTTGCCAGCACTGTCCAGGTTTCCTGAGGATGCTGCTGAATCGCTGGCTGCTCCCAGGCTATTAAAGTGACATTAGGAAAAGCTTTCCTCCTGCTGCCCCACGGTTTTCCTTTCAGAGCAGGCAGGGACCCTGAAAAGGCTCATCCAACCTGCAGCGGAGAAGAAGAAAGTACTAGGAGAAAACCAAAGCATCTCCTGCCCCGAGTCAGGAGGGGTTGCTGCCTGCTTGGGTCGGTGGAGGGGGTAATTAGAAGTACCTGCTGCCTTCAATGTGTCACCACTGTCAACCACAGTGACTGCCTCCCGTCACCATGGCAACAGCCTGCAGCCAGGTTTATCATCTTTCTTTCGATGATGCCTCCCCTTCCCCGCATTCTTCACCCCCTCCTTTTCCCTGTGCCTGAGCCTGTAATTAATTTCAGCTGCCGACAAAGCCGGTCTTCACAATCTGCATCATTCAGTCAGAAGTTTCATTACTAATTAACTTCTTTTGAAGTTCAAATCTCCTAATTACAAGTGAACTTGTACACGTGCTGTACCCCTCTGCCCTGGCCCTTCCTCACCACTGGTCTCCCTTCCCACGGCCTCACTCCTGACACCTTTCCCAGCGAGGCCTGGGGCCTCCAACGGGTTTTGGAAACTAAAAGGAAACCCAGGCATTTCTGCCCATGGTCAGCTCCTCTCCCTTGGCCACCACAAGATGCTTCAGAAGAAGGTACCAGAAAATCTGCAGCAATCCGCTATGTAATAACTTGCCCTTAAAGGGAGGTTTTTCCCTAACAGTGACAGTTCACAGTTGATTCAAGCCCTCAGGGATAAAAGGGTCACGCCTCTCATTTCAAAAAGAAAAACACAGCAAGGGAAAAAGGTTTCCTGACTCCCTTAACCATGGGTTATTATCATTATCCACATAACTGTCTTCTCTTTATAAGAGTCCTGTTAAGCTCTTGGTGTCAGCATTGTCTTGTGGCATCAAGACCCATATCTAGGTTTATTATTTTTTGCCTAAAATGCGTTTCCTTGTACTGGTTCTATATATGGTGCCTGCCTGTGGCAGCAACACTTTGCTTTGCTGATGGGTCCCCTCCTCGTCCTTCCACACCCCCACCAGGGTCCATGCAGCTGCTGCCTGAAGCCAGCTGCCACATATCCATTGATACTCCACAATGTCTTCCAATGGACAGGGAAAGTCTGGGGTGGGGAGAGACTCAAGGGGGACATGCATCACCAGCACACACCAGTAGAGGACCATCATCCACCGCAGACCATCCGGGATGGAGTCAGTGCTGAAAGCCACAAGTTACAGGACAGGTAAGGACATGTGCAGGTGTTTCTGGGAGCTGGATCTGCTGTGGTAGTGCTTGATAACATGACTAAGCATAATGCAAGATCATGTTAGAAATGGGTGGTGGGATACAGGCAAAGCTTTTGGGCTTAATTCCTGAATGACAAATAGCAGAAGCAAGGTATTGTACTGGGGCTGTATTAGAGCTGTAAATAGCTTACACATGGAAAACTGGGTACCACTTAATGTTCCTGGGATCAGCCTCAATCTCTGCTTTTTATCACTGACAAA